TCTGCAAGCAACCAAGAAAGCATTTTCGGTTGTATTCTCCTTGTAAGCCAAACTTTGAAATAACGGCGTGTCAATAGAAGCGTTTTCCGCGTCACTCTCTTTCGGGCCAATTTGAGAGGAAATAAGGATGTCTTGAACAGCAGTCTCTCCATTACAGGTGATTATGGATTTTGAGGCATACACTTGAATTCCATCAAGAAGAAAGTATGGAAAACTGCCCTCGTTTTGAAAAAGTTTTGAATATAAATCGTACGCTACAAAAGTCGTTTCAAACATTTTCAGTTCTATAGAGAACAAAAGAAGTAAAATCAACACAGGCCTCAGGTTTCGCTGATAGTCAAACTCTATCGTTGTCGCAACTCCATCAATTCTTTCGACGATACTCTGAGCACCGCTTGCTTCTATGACGCTGCTTAGGTCTTCCAAAAAGTTTCTAAAACGATGGTCATGCTTTAGTGTCCCTTGACATCTAAATTTTTCCTTCAGGAATATGCTGTGTAGGCGGGCAACACCCAAGTAACCTTTGAATACACGTACGCCGCAATGCAACTCTGCGTATTGGAAAAAAAAGGCAGCTTCCTTTATCATTCCAAGACGGAAAAGCTTTAGCCCAGTCTTAATGAAATCGGATGAGTATTTGAAAGAGACCATCGACATCGACTCGGAATACTGATCACCCATTTTCTTCACAGTGACAGGTTTTCGATCAGCTCTGAATTTTCTTAATTGACCATTGCTGAAGTGGTTTAACAAAAAGGCCATTCCTTGCCCGTACTCTGCGACAAGACCTTCAATTCTATCATCAAACACACTCTGTCTTTGAAAGGTTTTGAAACCTTGGGTGATTTCTGTGTACTTCACTGACAACTCATTCACAAATGACACTTGGTAGATGGCCTCTATGTTCTCAGTGGCTCTTTGAAAGTAAAGGTAGGACTCTTCTTCTTGATTCATTCTCGATGTCATATCACCAAGAGACATGTAGCACTTAAGGAGGAGAAAATTCTTAAAGCCAAATATTTTTCCCAAGATTTCAACAGAACTTTTGAACTTTTCCGTGGCGCTGGAAAAATCCCCCGCGAGACTCAAAATCGTACCTTGTTTGTACAACAAGGAAGCAATATTAAAATGGTCGGGTCCAAAAACAGTTTTCAGGATTTTCACAGTCGTTTGCAAGAGCCCAAGGGCAGCTTTGACTTTTCCTCTACGGATGTAGAGCTCTAGTAACTTCTCAAGTGCCTCGATTCTTACATTCATGTAAAGGTTTCCAAACCTGTTCACAATGTCATCGAGTGAATTCAAGTTCTCAATACTGAATACTTCATCAGCCTCTTTGAATTTTCCGTGAAGGAGCAGTACTTCAGACAGATGCAAGCGAATGAAGGTGACAAGATACACAGAATCCTCTCTATTCATTTCTTTGCAATAAGATATCAACCACCACAACGCTTGTTCTGCTTGGTTAAAATTGCCCAGAATAGTATGCAATACTGCTTGATTATTCATTACCGTGAATACTGCCTCAAATGGATATGGTATATCCTTCATTTCTGTAGCTTTGCAACTCTCAACTAATATCTCCTGTTGCTCAAGGGCTTGACGATACTTTCTGAAAACCAGATTTAGCCGGCTCATGTTGCTCTTTACGGCGAAAACTTCTGTAACATTTGACGACCCGTTCGAGTTACGAAGGCCCCTTTGAGAAGTTTCAAACGCTTTTTGTGCATCGAGCAAATCGCCCATGATGAGGTGAACACACCCCTTGTTGTTGTAGGCAGCAGAAAGGTCATGTGAACGACTAGTTGTATTTGACTGGTGATGCAGATCGATCAGCCGGTCAAAAGTTCCTCTGGCAATTTCAAATTCGGAAATCAGCAATGCAAATGCTCCCATGACGTTTAGTAATCCAGAGTAAAACTGCGCTCCTCTCGTACTTGAGTCTAAAAGTAAAGTCCCGTGTTTTATCGAGCAACTCACGCCCTTCTCAAGAAAGTTTTGTCTTCCTCGATGTAGGACCTCCAAGCCATACTTTGACGGAAAGTCAAAACATTCCGCCTTGTTTATTACCAATACTCGGAAAAGATTTGTTAAATTTCTCCGGGCACCAACAATGTTGTCACCTTCGTGGCACAAAATGGCTTCGTCGAGTACCCGAACAGCATTGTCCGAGAACTGCGAAGGAACCCTTATGTGGGTTAATCGCTGGACTGTATCTGATGCAGCGCTAGCCAAATGTGGTTGAAGTTTCTGATTTCTCTGCATAGCTTTGGTTTTGGTTTCTGTCCGTGGTCTCTTTTTCACACCGTTTGTCTCAGCCTTGGCTGTTGAGAGGTTTTCGAAAGGAAATAAAAATGTTACTATAAAGATCTCGTAAGTGTGCGCATGTGAGGAGGCTGGCTTTTTGAAACGGAATCGAGTACACTGAACTCTCTTCTTTCTCACCTCTCCACCTCTTTTTCGTGCGAAACCTCGGTAAGTATAGGTTTGATTGTAAAATGCGATTAAATGCTTTGGGCCAGCTATTTATTTGGCAGTTGAACCTTTTATCTGAACATTTATCTTTGCGAAGAATGTCAAGAGATCCGCAAACTAATAAAGGAAGGACATTTCTTTAATCAAATCAATCCTTTTCAAGAGAATCTCTGAGACTCACTACTTGCGTAAAAACCGCGGTTTGGGTTTAAGCTCATGTAAATAACCGGCCTTTTATCTTTGCCTTTTAGGTTATTTTGTATGTGGTGAGTGTCATGATATTTAAAAGTCTTAAAGAAGTACCCCATCTTACGCGGGTTCTTCTCGCCTCGCAATAGATCGCTTTCACGTGTCTTCACAGAATTATTTTCCGCCATGTTGGTTCACATCTGAGTCACGAGTTTCAGTCATTATTATATGCAAACACGATCTAAATTTATAGTTCCTTCTAGTTTACAATAAAACAAAATTAAATGTATGGCTTTCACCGAAAAATTGCTATTCCTTCGTCTGATCCAGGCTATGTCGTCCAAATTCCGCCTTATTAAAAAACTTGATGTAAAAGTCAGAGAGCGTTATCTCAAGAAGATCTCGACTATCGGAATCGACCCTGTTTTGATAGATGGGGAACGCTTCAAGCTTACTGATTGCTTACTGCCGGTGGAATCGACTGATTTGCTCTGCTATTTGGTTCTCGAGACTAATTATTATAGGCAAAAACAATTTAAAGCCTTCTGCAGTCTCGCAGCCTACAATCAAATGGTGTCGCGCTTTGTTTGCAACGTTCAAGGACATATCATCGGAACAAGTTCGAGGTGTTGCAAAAGTGCGGCACTCGCAGCGGATGAACGATGCCTTGATTCAAATCTGGATTATTACCATATAAGGATGGGACTATAAACTGCGCTCATTGTTTGGGATGCGAGGCAGGCCTCGCCGGATCATGTTCGCACATAGCTAGTGTGCTATTTTACCTTGAGGCTTGTACAAAGGTCAATGAAAGGCTTTCCTGTGCGCAAATTAAGTGCCCTTGGATACTTCCCAGTTTCGCTGACAAGGTGGAATACTCTCATGTCTGCGATAATAGCTTTAAATCCGCTAAGAAAATGAAAGCGGATAAATCGATGGAGAATCTCAATGAGGGACTTAAAGTTTCTGAGAACTCGGAAGTCTTCACTGAAAGCCCCGTTCAGAAACCGGAAGCGCCAGCACCGACACAAGCGGAAATGGAAAACTTTTACTTTGACCTTAGCAAATGCAAAACAAAGCTTGTATTGCTGAGCTTTGTGCCCACTGCTGATTCGACATCGAAGGAAATGTCGATGACCTTTTCTCTTGGTTCATCAAATTTTTGTTTTTTGAACCCGATTTCTTCCCGAAGCTGCCTTTCACGTTCTCCTGCAACACTTCGACATCTGGCTCTCTGGTCACAGGCGGCCCAAGCTCCAGCTGTGAGATGATCATCTTGCGCAATAACAGCCATTGCGGAATTATAAGAGTTTGTATGGGAAGTCTCAATTAAAATACCTCACCTTACTTCGACAGCGTATCACTTGTTATCTGACCGCTTACTTTGATGGAAAGAATCCATTTTAAGAAAAGATTTTCTTATTTATTTAACCTCGAAATGGAAAACTCGCTAAAATGGGTTCTTTTCATCAAAGTACGCGGTCAGATAACAAGTGATACGTAGTGGAAGTAAGGTGAGGTATTTTAATAGAGAATTTGACGTATTTTTTTAATCCTTAGAGCGATCGTAAATATTCCTATACAAACTCTTATAATTCCGCCATGACTGTTATTGCGCAAGATGATTATCTCATGTAATAGTGTAGTTTGATCGTCCGGGTGAGCGTAGTCCTGAGAAGGACTGTTGTCGGTAGTAGTGACTGACGTTTCGACGACCTTAGCGGAAGTCATCATCAGAGTCAAGTGAAAGGTTGTTGTCAGTCGAATGTACTTAGTCCGGTTTGTGTACACTGATTGGTCGTAAGTCGGTGATGTTCAGCAATGTGATTGTTGACATCGCCTTTCCTCGTCGCTCGTTTGTGTTCAGTCAGTCTGGTTGCGAGGTTTCTGCCAGTCTCACCGATGTAGGAGGCGTGGCAGTCGGAGCAATTGATCTTATATACTGCTCCTTGTCTGTTCCTCGGTTCGTCTCTGTCTTTGATGTTAGTCAGTAACTGACGTAGTGTGGTAATAGGTTTGTGAGCGACGCGGATATTGAATGGTTTTAGGATGCGTGAGATGTTCTCAGATATGCCCTTTATGTATGGTATTGTGGCTGTGGTCGTATGAGTTGCGTTGTCGTTAGCTTCGGTAGTAGTAGGTCTGTGAGTGTTACGTTGGATAAAATGATTATCTCACAGCTGGAGCTTGGGCCACCTGTGGCTTGGTGGTAACTTCAAGATAGGCTTGAAGTATTTCGACAGAACCACATTGGTGATGATGGGTCGGAACCCAATCTGGATCGTAACGATCCCACAGTTTAGCCGTTTTTCTGGAGATAAAATCTTTACCACAGACCTAACCCCGATTCAAAATGTTGTTTGTGAGGTCTTCCCAAACGATCGCAGAAATCCATTCGTTTCGCCTCTCCTTGGAAAGTTTCCGTACTTCTTCTCCTCGATTAATAATAATTGAAGGTATCCTTGCCATATTGATTCCTTTATCACGACCACTTCGGGTCGCACAGCCAAAAATCGCCCGTAGAACCATTTTTTAAATCATAAACACAACTCGTGGTCGTATGTTTACAGGCAAGGGAAGTGCACCAATATGGCGGCCACTTAGAAGGAGGTCATATGACTGAAAACGATCTATATAACAAAAATCCACTTGTTCTGATTAATTTCCACTGCACGTTCAGTTAATATTTGTAACTTGTGAACTTTGAATACAATTGATTTCCGGCGTTGAGTTAAATTCGTCTCGAAAAAAACAAAAGCAAAACCCCTCTCTCCACCCGCTGTACGACCGTAAGGTAATTTTGTTACTCAGTCTGAGATTTACCTTTTCTTGAGAGCGAAAATCCCGTAGCTTGACTATAAAGATGTTTAAGCTTGCTGGTAATGTTAGCTATGTGGCCTGTTTTCCCAAACTTATTCTCCATCATCGGACCGGTTTGTAATTCAGTAGGTGCAGTCATCTGTGAAAGAAAGGAATTAATTAATTCGTCGAAAGTAGCGAGTGTTACGCCGGTTAAATTTCTGCTTAACTAAATAGAATTTATTCAGGTTCGGGCAAAACATTGGCGGAATTTTCACCTGAGCTTATTCTCTATTATGAATGCAGTTCTTCGATAACGGAAAACAATGGCGAAAAATATGATGCTTTTGGGAATAAGCGGCTTTATTTTCAAAATACTGTGGGTGATATAGAAACCTTTCCGTAAAATTGAGGGGATTAAGTTCTTTTGTTAATAGAACAAATTCTTGAAGTTTCGACTCTAAGCCAAATACCTCAGTACAAAATTTGAAATCATTGGTAATGACTTAAATGGAAAACATAATCTGCTTCCGTCGGTGGAGGGGTAAGAAAGTCTTTGATAGACTCAGCTGCTCGTCACATTGTTTCTACGATACAGTTGTGTGACAGCTTGTGAGCATAAACATAACGCTTCGATCAGTTTGCGCTTGTCTTCGAAACCGTGAAATATACTTTCATTTCACTTTGCCCAAATGTGACTGATTATTCTGATGCTTACTTGAGAGAAAAGACAAACACAAATTTCTTACCCTCCAGCCTCTGCGTTAGTTTTAAGCTGGACTCGATGATTCAGCTTTCCACCAAAGCTCCTTGATTACTAACAGCTTGCGATTTAAGTGACAGAGGCAACCTATCAACATCAGTGATGCAAAGTTAACTCAGTGACACTAATTTGTTTACCAAACAGAGCCGTATGTCTTTTTAAGGATTTTGCCGGATTCGGAAAGGTAAAATTCGAAAACGAAAAGCTAACTACATGTATATTCCAAGACTGACCGCTTGCAACTCTGCCAACCAGTTCAAACACGTATATGTGTAACAGCTTCAGCAATTTCCTGAAGGAAGTGTCACGGTTATTTAAGATGATGAGTAACACGTTCTGGCATGATTTTGAAGTACGCATTTATATTTAGGTTTTTTTTTTTTTCAATTATTCGGTTTAAGGAGGATTACTTGTTTTGTCTTCAAGGGACTAACTTCTGGGATCTTTCAGATTTCGCTTTCCGTTTTGTGATGAGGCCAAAATCAAACTGTGTTTGCGTTTTTAAGTAAAGGTGACAATAGGTAAAAACCCCTAATCCATCACAAAACAAACTTAATAAAGTGCGATCTGATCACTAACCCTACGTCGAGATAAGGGAAACTCCCAAAAAAAATCAAAATAATTATTATATTTTAATATGATAAGAGAGACCAAAATTTCGAAGTCGTAACTCCAGCTGAGCACCTTTAACGCATTCGACCGCGAAAGGATGAAAACAACATGCATGAACTACTCAAGCAGTGTTTGCTCTTCAGTGGCTCCTACGCCAATGATCTATGATGTTTTTTATCATTATTATCCAGATTGAAACTGCGTACCTATTCATCCCTTTCGAAACTTTTATAATCAGGGATTCGTGCAAATGTTATGTCGAATTCATGTAGCTTTTGTCGAGCGCCTTATTTATCAGCAGCACAGGGAAAGTCAGCTGTAACAGCAATAATGGTAGATTCAAAATTGGTGTTGTGCTTCATATCGGATCCCTTGGCGATCGACCAACATACAAAACGAATCGTTTCATCGACAAACTGAGCTAGTATGCTTTTACATAGTAAAGTGCTGAAAATTGCATTAGCTGGGCAAGTTGCTTTTCGTGCATTCGAAGTATCCGTTCCATTCAGCTCGATTGACACCAAGGACGTTTCTTACCTTCCCAAGCAGATGGCCGCTTCGGAACGTGCAGTAACAAATTCTGGTTCGATTGCTCGGCAGATCGAACCAAAACAGTTACTTCTTCATGTTAACGTGTCTTTGTTTTCTCCAGCTTGTAAGGGAATCGAAAGAAAGAACGCTTCCTTAAGCAGTTTGGCCAGCCCAAACAATAAGACAGTACAATGGTCACCTGGCACCATATCACGTGATCGAAGTTTGTTTACAAAAACCACCTCGGTCGAGAGGGACTGAGATGGAATATTTTTAAATATATATTGTTAAAATAACTTGCAAAACATAACGGGAGATTCTCGGAAATCCGCGAGTGATATAGCCGAACATCCGAAGCCGTAAATCCCATGATTCTTAAGGAACAAACAAAAACAGCATGGCGAGAATTTTAATGCACGAACCTTTGCTCGATGGTAGACAATATTTATTGCGGATAATTTAAGGTACGTTAATTCTGTTGATGAGGCGCATAAACTTATTGCGGAATTTGAAACAGGATTTACGACGAAGTTTTCTTTCTTTAAAGCTGACAAAGGTTTCGGGAACACTGGTGTATATATATATATATATGTATATATATATATATATATATATATATATATATATATGTATATATATATATATATATATATATATATATATGATATAGTTCTTGGGCATTACAAGGCTTTGCTATCGCTATTGTGCATTCTCACTAGTTTATCTAGTTCAAGTTCTCTGGCATGGCTTGAATGATACCACAATTGTGGAATCATTCGGGTTAACTTAATGCTTACACCTCCTTCCTCGGACAGAAGTCACAAAATACTCTGGGAAGATGCATGAGTTATTTAAGGAGCAAAAATTCATTTTTTACTGGTGTGCCATTCCTAATTTTGGGAAGGAAAGTGCTCAATTGCCAGCACGGCCTAGATAGAACAGCCGGAGAGAAAAGGAAACGAAAAGATGCAGAAGAAGTACTATATATAATATTTTCTTTTTATCCTCGACCTTTGTGTTACTGTCAACTATGGCTTGCTAATTCGAAAGGTCAAATACACACATGAATGGGTCATATGACATTGATCTCAGAATACTTTTATGACAAACGTGATAACAGTTCAATCTTGGCTAAATTGAAGATGGTTTAGAAGTTAACAATTATAAGAACTTTTCACTAACATATGCTGCTGACAAAGGAGAAAATATATGCAATTCTGCATTTTTTTGCTTTCTATCAAGTAATCATATGTTGGCTCCTTATAAAGCTACAACACTTCTGTTTTGTCGCATTCCAATAAATAACTTATCACTCATCTTACACTGTTATATTTACCTATTACAGAAGGCCAGAAACAAAGATTGTAATTCAAGAAAATAAGATTTCTTGTTTAAGACACAAGGAAGTTTGACTGCAAAGCACAGATAAAATTGTGAGAAATTTTAATTTTTTCAGAGAACAAGGTAGTTCTACCCGTGTATAAACAGAATGAATCCGGTTTAATAAATCAGATATGTGGCATGATTCCTTTTCTTCCATCCCCACTCAAAACAAGCAAACACACCTATGGAGGTTCCAGTCTGGTCTGAAAATGAAAAGGAGGAATGTGAACACTGCAAAATTAAGCATTAGGGTTCTTATTTATAACATATTGATTATTGTATACTGATATCAAGAAATTAAGGTTGCGAGTAGCAGCCAGCTGAGTTATAGTTAAATTTAGAGTAACCTTGTCTTGAGAGAGGGAAATTGAGGAGCTGTAATATACTTATCATCAATTAGGGACCACAAAGAACAATTTGTTTATAGAGACTTTTGGAGGAGAGGGGTAAGACTTGTGACAGGCTGGCATACATATAAATAAACTTTACTGCTAAATGGGTTTCAATATAAAGTGCTCAGTATTAGGATCAATCAGTGCTTTAGCTTCAAGTTTAATCCTTTATGGTTTCCTTTCTCTGTGTTTATTTTTCAAGTTATGTTTTACAAAAGAACACAAAAATGACAAGGAATGCTTTTGAATATTAAGAGGCTGGAATAAGCAAGAAACCAAAACTGAATTTCCCAGGTAAAAATATAAGGTGGGATCCCGCCAATCCCACCTGGGATCCCATGTGTGTCCCAGGTGGGATCCCGCCTTTTTCAGGTGGGATCCCGGGTGGGATTATGGAACATCCCGCATGGGATCCCACCTGGGATTATGGAACATCCCGCATGGGATCCCGGGTGGGATTATGGAACATCCCGGGTGGGATTATGGAACATCCCGCATGGGATCCCACCTGGGATTATGGAACATCCCGCATGGGATCCCACCTGGGATTATGGAACATCCCGGGTGGGATTATGGAACATCCCGCATGGGATCCCACCTGGGATTATGGAACATCCCTGGTGGGATTATGGAACATCCCGCATGGGATCCCACCTGGGATTATGGAACATCCCACATGGGATCCCACCTGGGATTATGGAACATCCCGCATGGGATCCCACATGGGATCCTGCCAATTGAAGTTGGGATCCCGCCTTAAATTCCTAATAGCATCCCACCTGGGAAAGCACATCCCAGCAGGATTAAACCTAGAATCCCACCAATCCCTCTTAGGATCCTGCCTCAAATTTCAGATAGTTTCCCACCTGGGAAATCATATCCCAGGCAGGATTGCATCTGGGATCCTGCCAATCCCAGTTTAGACCCTGCATAAAATTACAGATGGCTTCCCACTTTCAGAAAAATCCTTTGAGGGATCCTGTTTATCACTGGAGACCACAGATTTATGAAATGTACTAGATAGGATATCTTAAAATTAAGAGGATAAAATTTTCTAGGTGAGCTATAGACCCCATCAATCCACTGAGGGTCCAAAACTTTCCAACTAGCTATAGAACATACTGACACCTCCAATGGGATCCCATTGTCTTACCAAGCTGTTGATCATAAATGATTCAAACAGTACATGAATACACAGACTATATGTGATAAAGATCTCATAATTTATTTGCAATGAACCAGCATGTGTTTGACTTGTTTCATTAACAAATTTCTTAACCGAACATTCTTAAAGAATAACAGCACAACTCAGCATATTACTTTTTTTTCATCATTTAAGCAGACCATCTACAGTGTAATAAGGCTCAACGTTTAAAAAAATTGGCTGTTGTGTATCAAAGAATAAAAGAAAGACAAAACCTCAATAATTCATGTTATCAAAATTTTGACAAAGGTACTGATTGAAAGTCTGCTCTCTCTTCAGTCGAATTTTTCAAAGCAAAGCAAGGTCAGAATGTTCCCAAATGTGACTAAAGTAATCTTGAAACCTTACTCATAGATTTATTTCATTGTAAAGTGTAAGCTTAGGAAACTGCAGCATGCAAGCGACCAATTCGATTCTCAGAATTATTTGAGTTTCAGTTGTGCTGAGCGTTAGGTAAGATTAATTCAAGCCGTTATTTCTATTCTTTGATAAGATTTTGATCACGTAACGAATATGGCAATTTGTACTCACCACAAACTTCTAAAAATCCTAGCTTTAAATGGCCACTCGATCGTTGTTTGAACCAGTCGATATGTCAACTGTTAATTGTCCCTTCTTTTAAGTTCACGGCGCCAACGACTTTCTTTTCATTTAAAACACTCACGCTGTTCTCGTTTTCCCATTAAACCACAATAAAACCAATCTTTAGAAGTGTTATATTAAGCAAAACAGTTGGGAAAAGAAACAACTTGAAGCAAGAGCGGTTAACTGATGAAAAGTACATTCAAAGATGAGCGCCAAATTGAGTTTCCTTTGTTTCCGATTACGGGCATGATCACGTGGACCTTTTAGCAAAGAGAATCCGCTGGCTTGATCCATTGCAGACTCAAGAGAAGCGCACAACATTATTCTGTCTCTTCTGACCGGTTCTCCTCTCATGTTTTGATGAGGACATAAATAATGATGTGAATTCACTCTATGTAGAAATAATCGACAAGAATCGAACAAGAATACACGATTTGTGGCCGAAAGTTTTCGAGGAAAGAAAGACTCGAAACCCACTTGAGTTATGTTCACGGCGAAGGTGAGAAACAACACAAGCCAATCACCTTAGGAAGTATAAGAGATACCTAGATGATCCCAGTGTACCAGTACCTAAATCAACAAGGCTTGACCACAACAAGCGTTCAGCAACACGTTCCAACACAGCTAGCCATCCAGATTCCTCAGTCGGTCTTTCCACTTAACTAGCAGTGGTGCCAACAGAGTCAAGTGCGTCTCATAACGGAGAAAACATTTGCATGAGAGACAGAAGCAACTACATGCGATTACAGAGGTGCATTGGAATTCTCGTCTGCAAATGGTTATGCACAGTCCAAAGCGTTCCCGAGCTTGGAAAGGGGTGGAGAGGACGAAGATACAAGGTTGTCATTTTATACTACAAGTAAAATTTTATACCAGACCTACAAGGTATAGAAAAATTTTGTTGATCGCTGACTCAGAGAAGAACAACAAGTAAACTTTAGAGCTGTTATTATTGAACTGTGACTTGTACTTTTCATTTGTATGTAAAGAAGGAATTGTGTTTTGCACCAAAAATATAAAGAAGTAATATTTTTTAGGAGGTCCAGTGATTGGGACATTTAAGAAATTAAGTAATGAAAAGAAACTCGGTTTGTACTTCTCACTACTAACAAGTCTTGTTTTAAAAATATTTTCAGATCAGAGTTTCAAATAAAGCAAATTGAAGAAGTCATTTAAAAGGTTTATTTTCTCGAAGGGAACAGTGACCACCTCTGTCTTGTCCGCATGCCAAATATTTGCGGAGTGTGTGGATGATCCATAAGTATTGGAACTCTCACAAAAATGTTTTGTAAGAATAAAAACAGCAAGACCAGGATCCCGGGTATCCCAGGTGGGATATTGCAGTAACTAACCAAATGATTGGTTAGTTTGTCTCCGCTCTTTTTGAAATGCATTGCACAATGTACCGACTTGCAAAAGTCCGCCACAAACCTTACGACAGAAGTGTTGATCATCTACAAGGATGTCCATTCTCACCCCGAGTAACTGGGAGTGGTCCACCACAGACCTTAAGACAGATATTGTTTTTAATTCTGTCAGGATGCCCAGTTTCACCCTCCACGCTCTCTATGGGGCGGGGTTGCCGGTTGAGTCGACTTCCCGACCCATGAGA